CTGGAATTTGGAGACTAAGTCCTAACGATGAAGAACACATAAATTGTAAATTAGTATAAGTTTGGAATTCCAAGAGTCAGTTATGACGAATAACAAACCTTACATTAAAGTATCTTTGAAACTCGAAAGATATGGTCTCGTTTAGAAAAAATCCTAGATTAAAACAAGTGTGGAACTCGAAAAGTAGGCCTAACGAAAGTGAAATTAAGATAAATCTGGAACTCGAAGTATCAAACCTGATGGATAAGAAGTCTTAGCTTAATACAAGTGTGGCCTTAAAGGGTAGTGGCTAAAGGAAAAGAAATATTAGATTAGATTTGTTTGGAAATTGAAGAGTGAGTACTAGTTAAGGAGATGTGATAAGTTAAACTGTTTTGAAGCTCGAAGTGTCAGACCTGATGAAGGAGAAATCCAGAATTCGGATCAATCTGGAAGTCAAAGAGATAGTCCGGGATGATAAGTAATAAATTAAAACAAGTTTGGAACATATTTTGTCAGGATTAATGGGCAAGACGTCATACATTAGGGTTACATAGTAGCTCGGAAAATTGTGCCTATTGGAGGAATAGTCCTAAATTTAAGCGAGTCCTGAACCCAAATAGTCAGTACTAGTGGATAAAAACACATAAATTACGAGACGACTACAACTAGAAGAACTGAACCTATGGAAGAGAAGTCCCAAATTAAGATAAACCTGTAGCTCGAATCTTCAGTCCAAATAGAGGAGAACTCTTAAGTTACGACAAATCTGCAGCTTGAAGAGCTAGGCTTGGTGGAGAATAGATTTTAGACTTAGATAATTTTGGAACACATAGTGGGGAAGAAATCTAAATTAAAGTAAGTTTGTAGCTTGGGGAATCAGGACTGGTGGAGCGTTGAGGAACAAATCAGAATAGAGTAGAGAAGTCAATATAAATAAACAAAACATGTAAAGAAGAAACCGTTATTTGTAGGTCATATCTAGTTGGAAGTGGTCAAAAATAATGAGTTGAATCACGTGAAAGAAACAAACAAAACAATAAAGGCCTGGTAGAAAAGAAGCATGGATAAATCTATACAGTTAAACTTTGTGCAGAAGCCAAGAAGACAAAGTCAAAACTAGTAAGATTAAATCAGGAGCAATGGCTCATCCTTTACAACTTAGTAAATATGCATATTACCATACAATTTAATAACATAAACAGTCCAAAATCATGCCTAAACTACCCACAATGTAGCAACTATTCATAAACCAAATATCAGTCATGAGCGTCGCCAGGATTTTCTTAGGTGGGAATTTCGTTTCTGTTCATGATGCATGTGTCTTCGCCCCCCCCCGTCCCCCCCACGCCAAATGACTAAGCGGTAAATCTGCAACCTTACAACGTTAAAAATCGGTTTTCGATACCTGTGGTGGACAGAGCTTTGTGCTTAACAACTACCAAGCCTACTATACTAAGCATCATTCTTATATACGTGTGTGCGTGCGTCATATATATATATATATTTCTGGCTTGAAAAAGAGCGTTTGCTCGAAACGTTGCCAATGAAATAATGTACAACGATAGTTTTTGTTTTTTTTTAAAGTGATTTATCTCCAAAATTGTACTTTCTTTGTTTTGTCACCTTGGCATTTTTCTATATATATATCTTTCTGTATCGAACCGGATAGCTGCAGGTGTGAACAAACAGCCTCAACCTTCTGAAGTGTATTTAGTTGACACAGCTGGAATGTAAAGATGAAGGCCTTATCCTGGCTAGAACATGACTTTAGAGCATGGCGCTTGCGTTGTCAGTAGGATATTGAGCAGTATAGTACTTACTCGTTCACATGGTACTGAGAAATGGGACGACTGGCCGTTCAGTAAGTTTCAATAGGCTATGGTTGTGCTAAGGATATTGGTTTCTCATTTAACCTTCAGGTAAATTCGGCGGCTCGTAGAATTACTGTTTTTTGTCATCCAAAAGGGGTTCGTTGGAACCCTTCAACCCCTAGACGACTTCTCTGCCAATTATAAACCATATTTAAATCACACAATTTAACAACCATACCTACCCCCTCTAACCCCCACAGTTTAACCGCTATACATAAACTACACACAACTTAATAACCATAAAAAGTCACCAACAAAAGCTGTCCATGTCTTATAATTTGTTATTAGTTGTAGGTAGTTTATGTGAGGTTGCTAAACACATTCTCTTGGCATAGGCAACATTGCACTAGATGTTCTGTAGTTATGTGGACAAATTATACACGACTATTCGTCACAAAATAATTTCAAGTAATGTGTAGCTTTTTTTTTTATAAGGTACTGTAATCATTGATTTGCATCAATTAAAATAAAAGGAATATAAACTAATTTTTGACATTTTAAGTATGAACGTTAGCTAGCTGCACGTTAAATCATGCCGAAAGGAAACGCGTAATGTCCGAATATCTTCAAACTCTATGGTCTATATTTATAAATGAAACACATATTAACCTGCTTCTTTGAATAATTCCTTGTTATACGATTTATACAAAATATAGTATCTGATGACACAGTGTATCTAATTAAACTGATTTTCTTGAAATTTTATCGTTCATGGGGAAGTTGTCAACTTTACATTTTTACGTAGCTCTACCTCTTCTATTGGCTTGGTTTAAACCTGGGATTGTTCATTTCAAATGAAAAGTGTGTATACCTTCTCTAATCACTGTTACATAATTAGTGTTCAAATTGATACGTCTTATAACATATTCTATTAAAGTTTCTTACTGAAGAAAAGAAAAAATACTGTCTCGCAAATACATTTATTCTATAATCGATTAATATGTAATAGTTGATCCATTTCGCGATTGAACTTTGTTATAAACAGTATAACTTACAAGTGTAAAACCAGAAACGTGCTTCCAGGAAAGAAACGGGTCTTTGTTAGCTTTTGCTCTACATTAATATAACCTAAAATAACTCTATGGTTAGAATAATTTTCCCAAAAATTGAGAACAAAATAAAACAAACATAAAATAAATATCTTAAATTTGAGATCATCTGTTAAAATTATTTTGGTCTCTTATCTACTAGATTATTTTAAATTAAGAAAACCTTATGCGATGGAAAAAATCAGCAATGGTTACGAGAATTTTTGAAAAAAGTTTTTCTTTACATCATTAATGTCTAAAGCTGAAGATACAGACAAACTCTCAACAATTATCTTAAGTAACAAAATATGAAGATAGACAACTTTACCGGTAATGGAATTGCTATGAGAAAATCGATGAGACACAAGTACAATTTTTCGCAAGAACGTCCAATAGAACCCGAAAACTAAGTCCCAACCGCCTTGTCTTCGTTCCAACTTTTTCTGATACACTGACCAGTGTACTCGCAGACGTAGTTCGTGAAATGTGCGTCAGCATGCACATGCAACAGGACGTTATAAATCCGAGCCGACGCTAGGACCCTCCCCTAGCTGTAATTCAACAATACCTCATGGAAGCTTCGGATCAGCAAAGCTCGACTTTGCGGCGCTTGAGCTGGTAAGCTCCCGGCCTCGCGCTTCGACAGTCTGTCTACCTCTGGACCACATTGATCCTTGTCCTTATAAGGTAGGGCCAGCTGGCAAGGAGTTGAAGAGAAGCTACTTTTGGAATCTCTCTCTTGTCCTGTCTCATTCTATTAATATCTTCTGCTTTACTAGCAACGAAGCTTCCCAGGCGGTTTTCCTGCCCTTCTCCTCCACAAAGGACGCTGACAACTTCTCGTCCTTCTCTTTAGTTTGGTCTATAGAAAACTTTTACACATCATGTGTATATATATATATATATATATATATATGTAGACATGTGTGTGTTAAAATAACAAGCGATCCATGTTGTACTGGCTTCAACTTCTGTCGGATGTGAAGTAGAATACTGCTCAATCCTCATAAATCAGATCTGACTAAATACGTTGTATCTTCTAAACTGAGCAATCTAAAGAAATAAGGTTTAGTTTTGTGTTACAGCAAGACAGCTGGGTATACTTTTTGGACACTACCCAGCCACTTAGTGTGAAGCAATTTTTTTCCAACACTGATTAACCTTCCCAAGTCGCGATTTCTGGCCTTGGATGCTGGTATTTAATACCCGTGTAGTAAAAATCACATCTGCAGCTCATCCAGGGCTTAACTTGTTGTGCAGTTCGTTTAACTTGGCAGCCTGCCTTGCACCAGTTGACTGAAAAAAACACAAAAACTGACCTTCACTTCTGAGACACCAGATGTAGTATTAATCAACATTATACTGATAACCATACTTGTGAATGCCTGTTATTATCACCACCATAAAGCTCCAATTATTATATAGTTTAGTGTCAGTACAGTTTGATAAATTTGTCTATTCTATGATTCTATTTTATTTAGTTTCTTGCCAAATCAATTTTGAGCATGTTCGTCTAATCAGGTTCAGGCTTCTCATTTATTTAGAAATTATCATTTTCGAGTCATTTTGTATGTTATGTGTGGTATCTATATATATATATCTTCACCCTGTTTGTGATAACGCTTAAAAAACAACAAAAAAAAAACACTTAATGGGTATGCCTAACTAGCTAGTTATGTTCTGAAAAGGTGGGGTATTGAAGCTTAGGTTTAAAACTGTAGCTTATGGTGTGGTATTGAAATATTCTAAAAATGAAATGGTAAAATAAATTGAAACTATTTGCCCTGATAACTGTGTTTTTTGTGTCCTCGTTATTTGTTGTTACCTTTCAAATCGGTGCCATGACTACGAAACATACTGGAAACTTAATCATACGCCTAAGCTTTATGAAAACCTAACCACTTTGAAAGGACTCTTATACTCGCAAACTTTGATCAAAATATAAGAATTGTAAGCTATTATAGTTTTTTTTCAAAGATGTTAGAGGCTAATTTATTCAAATATTGATATTCTCTTGGTAATTCGGAAGTATTTCTTTGTTACCACCGTACTACGTTTTTATTGCTTCTTTTTTATTTTCGTTTATTTTATATTTAATCTATTTAACTGCCTAATATAGCACAGAAGTTCCAATATCCGAGGAACCAGTTACAGGAGCCATGCATTAGTCACTACATAGGAGATTAAACCATGATGACTCATAACATTTTTTCAGCAGTTAAGAGATGCAGTTAAAGCTGATACTCCTGTTCGAAAAACTCAAGACCTTGTCACGTGGGTCAACTAAAAGTACATCTATTTGAAACGGAAGGAACGGTTTCCATGGTTAGAGGTCATGATTCATGTTACATTTCATCATCTCAAACAATAGACAAGGACGACCACTAATAAAGTGACATTCGAAAAACTTTCTTTTATGTATGGTAGACAAAATCGAAGTCAATAAATAACAAGATCACCACATGTTTAGAAGTTTGTGATTCAGTTATATCATTATAATTCATAAAAACAAAAAGACGATCCGCTGTGTGCTAACCAACAAAGGAATAGCAAAACGAATACAACTGTAAATCAACTCCGGGTACAGGTATGAAATCCTACACGCTGTAGGTAGTGGTAAATTATCAACTGTAAATCAACTCCGGGTACAGGTATGAAACCCTACACGCTATGGGTAGTGGAAAATTATCAACTGTAAACCAACTCCGGATACAGGTATGAAACCTACACGATGTAAGTAGTGGTAAATTATCAACTGTAAATCAACTCCGGGTACAGGTATGAAACCCTACACGCTATAGGTAGTGGAAAATTATCAACTGTAAACCAACTCCGGATACAGGTATGAAACCTACACGATGTAAGTAGTGGTAAATTATCAACTGTAAATCAACTCCGGGTACAGGTATGAAACCTACACGCTGTAGGTAGTGGTAAATTATCCAAATTAAGCCAAATCGAAATTTTTTTTATTTTCAACAATTACATTTAAATTAACAGACAAAGTTTAACCACCAGTATTACTGACAAACTACAAGCATAATTATTTAATTAAGGGGAAAAATACAGAATATAAGACTTTAACAAAACTATGTTTAATGTAACTAATTATTTATAGTTTCCAAATGCCTCAGAGTATTAGTATTTCATAATTCTAAAACGATATCATACATTTACAATTATGAAAAAGTAAGCATATCAGACATTTACAATTATGAAAAAGTAAGCATATCAGACATTTTACGAAGTGCTAAACACATTAGCCATTTTCAAACTATGAAGTGATAGTTAAATCGGGGTTTATTACTATATATTCTTAAAATGTGTGATTTAACTTGGAATTTACTATTCTAAAATTTCTGACCAGCTTAGCGCTTCATAATATTAAAATATCTGATCTGATTTCACTTCATAATCTTGAACTGTTTGATCTGGCTAGTACTTCATAGTTCTTAAATAACTGACATTATTTGTGCTACTTAGTTTCTAAAATGATTGATAAAACTAATATTTCATACTTAATTTTTAATGTATTTCGTATTCCTAGTTCTAAAATGTTTGATTTAGCTAGTGTTTCGTGATTCTAAAATTTCTTATCTGTTTAGTACTTAATACTAAATCACACGATCTGTTACTTCATAGTTCTGAATATTTTTTATTACCTGTGCTTGATAGTTCTGTTTAAAGGTCTTCACTGATCTTTCATTTTTATTAAAAATCTCTCGATTATTTCATACATTCAGAAGTCCAGAATCCCTATATTTCTTATCTGCTCAGATGAATACCTAAATATCTGATCTATTCAGAAGTCCAGAATCCCCACCTACTCAGAACTCCTATACTTCTGTTTCACCAATAACTCTCCTATTCCATCACTCAAGTAAGCAAATTCGATATTTGATAACTTTTAGCAGCTTCGCTTTCCTAAAATTTCGAACAAATCGCAAGTCCAGACTTCCCATGTTTACTATGCTCTCCACTATCCAGAATCTTCAAGTTTTCCACTGAGTGATCAAGAATTTCTAAATTTATAATCTGCTTAGGGGAACCAGAACCACTAAGTTTATAATTTACACAGAGACTCCATAATCCCTAGATTTCTGTTTTAATTAGAAGCTTAGAATGTTTAAAATTATGATTTATTTTGAAGTCTAGAAATAAACCTTCCACTTCATAGCCTGGAGCTTAAGATTTATGTTGCATGAAAAATTGTAGGTGTGCTTGTTTTTGTATGCAATCACAACGATCATGGCGCCGCTGTTGCTGTATCACAGCCATTGGAGATAAACATTGGGAAGAGTAAAGTTAACTTAAGTCACGTGAGTCGTGAGTACTGAGAGGTCAACTAGAAAGGGTACGAGGAAGCTACGAACGGCCGTGAATCATGAAGTAACAACAAGAAAGGTTAAGAGCTCAATTAAATTACATTAGTTATCTTGATAACTTGTTAATTTTGTTTCGACAGGGAACAAGAGAACTGTGGTAGATAAAATCTTTGGTACTAAACAAGATATTTGATTTGATATCTGTGTATCTACACGTATATAAATACTGGTACAGTAATTCAATGATTTGGGAGAGCACGATCTAGAAAATATGAATAACCTTTACGAAACCAATCAAAACTTCTTAGGACTGTATGATTGGGTTGAGGGCATTCTTAGTTTATGCTTTGCTATGATATCTTTATTGTCAAGATTCCTCTCATTCTGCTGCTAACTATCTTATAATGTTCTAACTGGTCTTCAACGTGGTTACCACGGCCCAGAATGAGCGGTATATTAGTAATAAATATATAATGATCTCAACAAAACTGCAGTAATGGGAAGGTGTTATTGAAATTACATATTTTATGATCTTAATTTTATAATTCTTTTCATGCATGTTGTGCTACTATATTAAGTGTAAAAAACAAAATAACTGACGTTTTTTTTGGCAAAATGAAAGGTAAAATGTTTATTATTAGTTACAGCCGACTAGTTTCAGTAACAGTTAATCATCCAGTCTCGTAGATAACCCTGATGATGGTAACTGTGTTACCGAAACTAGTTGGCTGTAACTAATAATAAACATTTTACCTTTCATTGTGCCAAAAAAACGTCGATTTTTTGT